TTCTATCGTGTATTTCAGGTGGATTATAGTTCCTGGGTTGGTGGGTGATTCACTGCTTCATTTTAAACAGTAGCCTATCTATGGTTCCTTTCTAGTGTGTCTTAAGCCTATCTATGCCCGTTCTTTCTTTCCAATGCTTCATTTTAAACAGTAGACTGTATAGTAATTCTCAATGTTTAAGAAGGCACTAGGCGTGAGGCGAGCATTGGGGCTTTGCCTAGCGCCTATCTCACCTAAGCATCGGCTAAGCGTGTTTAGTTGCTGGAAGCAAAATTAGCAATTTATACTACATAATGAATGAAGTAACAATTTACCGCACTCCCTACTTCTGTTCTAATGATTAATAGCTTAGTTAACACTTAACCACAAAAAAAATAGCTCACAAGTTCATATAACCATAGCTCAATCACTCATAAGGTTCTTGATCCCTACCTTGTTGTGAAACCCCTAAGCGAGGAGTTTTGGTATTGCCTAGTGCCTAAGCATAAGTTTAAGCGCGCTTTCTTGAACCACTAATTCTGCCACATGTAATTATGAATGGCTGTGCATCAAGATTCAGTAATCATCCTGAGTTTTAGATGATCTTTCCTATGCACATCTCACAAACTTCATTTCTATTTGAGGCGAACTTGATGTCAGTACATAGTTTAACCTCAGGAAGATGGAAGTAATCATTGAAAGATAGTTGTTTGATTCAGCCATTTTGAGATTACTGTTCTTAATGTGGTAGAGTAGGTACGTTTCACTTTTAGAGAGAACCTTAGTGAAAAATGCTCGTACCTTCCATTGTTGATTGTGGTTTTAGGTCGCCACAGAATTTGAGATCTGGTGCAGAAAACATGGTATGCGTTTTACAGACATGGATTGGAGCTGCATTCATAGTAAGAGTGTTGATTGATCTTAGGTTATACAAAAAATTGAGATATTGTACAAAGAATATGGTATACCTTTTGGGGGGACTGATGAGGGACTTGCATTCATCAGTTGAGTAATGGAACATCACAAGTGTTGATAGCTCTGACTGGTGAATGATGAAAGTTAAGTTATCTTGTTTGCCTGTTATAGGGAGATGCCAAGATTCAAGGACTAAGACTAAAGTTACATTTGCATGCCATGTCCCATTAGCCAGAATTCCTGCAACTGATGCATATGGGATTGCTTTACCTTGTTTTCGATGGGTTTGTATTGTTTTGATGATTGTTCTGTGTATAAACTCTGCTATTGAAGGACGTGTTTTGGTTTTTTTAAAATGGACTAGTAATTCTAACTATGGCAGCAGTCCTAGTCCAGTTGATGCCCTAGGAGAACATTTGGTTCTAAAGAAACAATAATCAAGAGCTACAACCATTAAAAAAGAAGATCGTAACTGTAGCTCAGATTTGTACCAGATATGGATCCTGGTTATGTTGATCAACACTCTCTGGAAATGAATGCAAGTATGGTGCATGTATTAGTGACATGGAAACTGCTTGTAAAAATTCAGGACTTAGGAGTTAGGCCACTGGTAATTGCCTTCTCCGATGCATCATGGAAGGGTGATGTGAGTGGTAGGGGGGAAGGGTAGGTATTTCTTGTAGACATATGAGGTGGGAATATTAGAATGTAACAAGTCAGTTGTTATGTTTCTGGTACAGGATGGTGTGTGAAGAGATCATTTGGGAACTTTAGGCAAGCTGCAGAATGCCCCTATTTGACTTTAGCAAAAGTAATGTCTTTTAGTTCTTAACCATCTGAAGAGATGCAACTCCATGGTACTGCAGATTTGGTGCAATGGGCATGATCCATGTTGATATTCACTTAGTTAAGTACTATTCTGATGTGATATTTAAACGGTGAATTTGAATTGGGTCCTAGTTCAACTCCTGTGATTGTGGTCATGCTTGGAAGTTTTAGAGGCTACAGCTAATATAGGTGTGCAACACTCTAGTAATTCAGCCAAACAAGTCGTATGCTGTTATTATCAGATTGCTTAGTCGTAAATCTGTAGACTTCATTTTGCCCCACTTCATGCACCTAATTTATTCTTGGTGATGTGATCTAGATTCTTGAGATGGACACATATAGGTATCACGGTCACTCCATGTCTGACCCTGGTAGCACCTACCGTACCCGTGATGAAATCTCTGGCGTGAGACAGGTGATCAGATGGTTATTAATAATCTGTTATGTTCCATTGGGAAAACCTCTTTTATGATCTCTAATACATTCTCTATCTTCTCACTGACCATCTTCAGGAGCGTGATCCAATTGAAAGAGTTAGGAAGTTGGTACTGGGTCACGATCTAGCCACTGAGAAAGAGCTAAAGGTAATTCAACTATTCAACTTCCTTGTGACACATGTAAAACCGTACAGTGTAGTCGTTATATTGCCTTGTATGCTTTGTGAGATGTGTTACAGAGAGACTGAATAGCTGTTTGTCTTCTGATTTTCAGGATATTGAGAAGGAAATTAGGAAGGAAGTAGATGAAGCCATTGCCAAAGCCAAGGTTTTAATTATGAAATGGTTTTGATCAAGAGAGTTAGAGTGTTTTTGTGATATCCCTTACCCTCCATGCTTGACATTGTTTTGATTTTTGTTTGCAGGAGAGCCCGATGCCAGAGCCATCTGAACTCTTCACAAACGTATATGTCAAGGGTTTTGGAACAGAGGTATTTCATTCCTGAACTTAAAAAGTTCAAATTTTCGATACTAAATGCATCATCTAGATCATGGCAGCAGCGCACAATAGAAATGGTTCTATCCAGTTTAGCATACTTACGGACTAAGAATTGTAATGAAACATCTGGAGAATTGCTCGACACCCGATTTATGTGTTTGTTTCTGTTGATAATTTGAATTGCAGTCGTTCGGAGCTGATAGGAAAGAACTAAGAGCAACTCTTCCATAAGAACAGGTTGCGGAATCGTCGATCACAAATAATGAAGCACATGTCTTCTCCCAGGGATTTTTTTCGTTGTTGAAATGAAATGGGTTGGTTACTGTATAGGATCACTCTGTGGATCCTCCCCTCTTTGTTCCGGGAATTGTTGGTCCTTTTGAGTTTGTGTAATTTTTCCATTTTGAGGGGAGCTTCCACTCCATTACCTTTGGCTATGCGATTTGCAAACACAGAGAATGTAAGCATTCCTAGTCTGAATTCACAAAGGCAAAATCTCGGTGATTCTTTAGCCAGTATTACTTGTAATCTTTTTTTTTTTTTTTGCTTTTTAATTTTTATCGATGGCAACTCCAGTATTCTTTACGGTTATGTCTGGCACAAAACTGTATTTGAAGTCATAACGGTCTTGTCTGTGTAGTGTATTTTGTGGTACAATTATTATTCAACCGTTTTGTATTGGCAATATACGTTTTTTAATAAAAATATCTTCTTTGTAAAAAAATTGTACAAACAAAATTAGGATATGGGTTTGGAACAATATTGAAATATACAGGATAACAAAGCGGTAAAATGTTCAATATCTTATCAACTCACAATTGTCCAAATGCATGTTTAAAAATAAGTAAAAATTACAAAACAAGAACGGTCACAAAAAACTCAAACTAGAAACTACTACTTAGTTTTTGAACTTGTAATCAAATCTATATCTTCAAACAACACCAAATGTAGAAAAGTCAACATTCTGGAACTCGTCTCCTTCATCTTCTCCATCACCAACTAGAACACAAGAAAACTAGTAAGAATCATTATCAATTATTAATATTATAATACATATCACACATAATTGATTCACAAACAAGCCTTCATCTTATAATGCTCAATCTAGTTCATCGGCATCCAATTCCTTGTCCGATGAAGATGCATCTTCTTCCTCTAATGACAACCAATCACTATTAATAGTAGAATCAATGCTTTCAAGACTTATGTGATCATATGATTCTTTGTTCTTGGTATAATACTACCTAATCAAAGGAGAAAGATAAAAAATGATTCAATTCAATAGTAAGCATATAAATTACAATTCAACTCACAAGTTGTATGATTCAAATAATACTCTCTATTATTCAACTCAGAAAACCATTTAGCCATCCTCAATCTACATACAATATAACTTCTTTAGATGCTAAGGCACTCTTTTATTCCTGGTTGGCTACCCAAAGTTGACTGTGGAGCAAACGAAGTGTCAATGCACCCATAGACATATTTGTGGAAGTAACAACTCTTTTTGAACACTACCATCATCTTGTCCACTAAAACTACTTTCATGAGGTTTATTAAATCCGGTTTTGATAGCTTCAGTTTTCTTCTTATTAACTCCATAATCAGTCGCATTCTTCAACAGGTTTTGACAAACCTCATAAGGAACCTTTAGCCATAGAATATCATATTATCACCATTAATTACAATTAGATGTTTTTTCATTCAGTGAAACCCAAAAATTCTAGACAAACAAATAAATGGGATCTATTTGACCGGATGACCAAACATCTTGTTAATATACCAAAACACAATTTGAAATTTAAAATTGGGTTCCTAAGATTAAAATCTTGGATCTCAAGGGTTTAAGTCAACAATTTACACCTTATTTTCTATATTTTCATTCTCCGATGCAATGTAGACAAATATGAATGGTTTATCTTTGAAGATTGACTATTTTGATTTTTATATATGAATTCTATCTATGAATATTTGAATGCTAATTTTATAAGTTTGATGCAAATGTAAACATTTTGTTGTGAACATTATATGTTATACCCAAATTTGAACATTTTCCCTTTCCATGTAAGGTTATATTTTATCCATGTATGAATGTTGGAAGATTGTTTAGATTTGAAATAATTTAGAGATAAATACAATATAATGATTTTTTTTACGTATCCAAACTAAATTGGGTTAAACCGATTCAACTACTAACCCTTCACTTCTTGGTCAACCACAACCAGGCCAATGGCTGAAAGTTGAAACCTGGTTGAGAACCTTGCAAAACACACATCCCGTCCGTGGTGGAAAACTTGATTAAATCGGTGAGAGGCGGCTAGTGAATTGGGCCGAGAGTTACGTTTAGACAAAGCTTGGGCTCCGTTTCTTAACATATCAAACTAACTGGGCCTGATAATACACAGAAAAAGAGGAGCACTTCCACCTCGTTGCTTGAGGATTAGGGTTTTGGATTGTTTGTCACCGAGCTCCCAAACTAATACACACAGAGCGGCGCAGCAGTTTTCTCCGGCGAGAAAAGCAACCATGGGCCACCAAAACGTCTGGAATTCTCACCCCAAGACCTACGGTCCGGGATCTCGGGCTTGGTGAGTCATCTCCTTCCCATGCCTTTCCTCTTCTCGGTTGAGGGTTTTCTTTGGTTTCGGTTTATGTCTATTGTCGACTGGTTTCTAGTTCCGTATCTGCTTCTTGTGTAGTTGTTCGGCTCTCCGATTAGGGTTTCGTCACTGATGTTAAGGGTTCCCGTCTATGTTGTCGTTCATTGATCCTTAAGTAAATTGATGTCGAATTTGCTTAGACCTAGTTTGATTGCCTAATATGTTTGTGGAGATGTATGCTGTATCTGCTATCTGAGCCCTCAAAGAAACCTGTAAACATGTGTAGAGATATCAGAAAGGGCCTCATTCCATTTTGTGCAGCAATTTTTCGTTATGACCTCCGAGTATCCCTGATGGGTATATGGCTGGCTGGTGGTTGTTGTAATCTGTTTTTAAGTATACTGTCGAATTTCTATTCCGTGTTGGTATACTGCAGCTGAAGTATAGATTGACCGTTTAGTGAATTCGTGCGTTTGCGTAGATTGATGTTTAGTTGCTCCAAGGGACGGTATAAGACTATTCTCTCATGAATTGGGATGTGCTTGATATACCATTTTCTTACCCTGCTACCTTTGTGATGTTTTGGACAGCCGTGTCTGTGGCAACCCTCATGCGATCATCAGGAAGTACGGGCTCATGTGCTGCAGGCAGTGCTTCCGCAGCAACGCCAAGGAGATTGGCTTCATCAAGGTAAAAAAAGGCAGAATCCTTCTGCTTCTACTTTGGATGGATGGTCTGATTTTTTTTTTTCTTCTTATGTTCTGTCTCCTGTATTAAATGGAGGAACTAGATAACTGTTGAATCCATTGTTTCATTATCTTACAGTGTTGCTGAATCCTAACTTTGTCATCTTTGCCCTTTCTTACCAGTACCGTTGAGTGGAATTGGAGCATTTTTATTGCTGGATGAGTTTCTTAACAGAGCTTGCTGGCAATGGAGACTTTCACCTACCTCACAGCAGCTTAGCTTCAGTTTTCAAGTTATCTATCTAATCCTGTAGACATAAAGATAATTTTGCTTGGTTATGATCATGTTGAACTAGATTGTCACTTTCCTTTTTTAGTGAAATTTAATTGAGAACCTACTTTTGGTATCCGTCTGGATCAATCTGCTGACTGCCATTGGAATCGTTTCTGGCCTGTGGTCGAGGTGTTGTTTGTTACAGCTTTTCAAATTCCTTATTATCTTGTTGGAGTTGGGCTCTGGCTTGGCTATGGATTCAGCTAAGTCACATTTTGAACCTTTCATCGTGGTTGGATTTCAATTATACATCGGTGGACGAAACCGTTAACTCAAAAGATGGGCTGGTTGGTATGTGCAAATTGAGGCCACAGGCAAGCGCTTGTGTGGATTTTATGGCTTCGTTGATTGTTTTCTGTGCTTGGTGCACCCCAACGAACACCTACTTCCTTGTTTGGTGATTATCAGGTTTCCTACGAGAAATTGTATACGAGTTTCCAAGTTCGACATGCTTGATATTATTTTGTTTGTACTTGTTGTTTGGTCTAAGGTTCACGCCCGTATATATGTGTTGAGGGTTGTTTTCATAATAGAAAAAAAAAATCTGCAGGTCTTATTCTCCGTGTATCAATAGCCTAATTCACATCAAATGGAAAAATCACATAAAATCATCGTGTCTTTTCTTTCTTGGTTCTCAAATCAATGTGAATGAGAGGAAATACATATGGATTAGGGTTTTGGGAGATTAAAGTGTAAATTGATTGAAATTAACCTCCATTTGGTTCAACATGTTGTGGTACTTTTTCCAGCTATTGTATAAACATGTGATTGACTTTGTGTCACGCACGGACTGGGACATTAATCAACAATGCAAGAAAGACAACGATGGCGAAGAAAGTAAAGAATACACCAATTTACGTGGTTCACTAACATAACGTATTTTAGCTAGTCCATGGGCGAGAGAGAGCCAGCTTCACTAGGGGAAATGCATATTAATTACAGAAAAGTATGAGAAGTATTTATAGTACTTCTCCAACAAAACCCGCATGACTTTCAGTCGATGGCAGATAACCCGATTCAAGTCATATCAACAAACTCGTTGACACAATGTGATAACTTTTAAAGAAAACCATCAAACAATCTCATTATGAAATCGTATTAGTCGAATATTAAGCTAGTATGGTTCATGCTTTTGATTTTTGAAAGAGACTCGGTTGGCCGAATTCATGGCTACTTATATGCCAGAGAACCATCACATTAGGCTGGATTGTTCAATATTTAGCGGTTAAAACAGTAAACGTTGTTCCTAAATCCTTTTAAAAAAAAAACAGATAATCTTGTTCCTCATGTTTTGGACTACAGATCGAAGTTGTTTGTGCGAGTGTTGTCATGTTCAGCTAGCTATAGCAACGATGTTGAAACTGACAGAAGCTAGAGCAATATAATATTTCTTTGTGAAAGAAAATGAACAACCTTAACTCATCGATCAAGCTGATGAGATCCAAGAGTTTGGACGTGTCTGAAAGTAGAACAGCCAGAGAGATTTGCTTTGTGATTTTGTCTTCATCATCAGCTTTCTGATCTTCTTGTGCCAAGTTTTGACCCATTCCCTTTGTCTTTCGTGTTACATGCCAAGATCTGCACTGCACTGCATGGTTACCGGCCAGTTGTTTGCACTGCATGCTCTTCTTCTCTTGTCAATGAGAAAGCTACTTGTCACCTTTTGACTACTGATCATCGGTAATATCTGGATTAATTGTTTGTTTAAGAAACGATAAAAGTGCAATAAAAACAGATGTTGATGTGTTGTCAAACTGTATTAACTACCTAACTAACTAAACCAGTGTTTGATGTGTAGATCGATTAGTAGATAACACAAAGATTTGTCTCACTCATGGATTATTATTGCCGGTATTTGGTTTTATTTTTGGGTGTTTTTGAAAAGACATTATTATTTGCTTTATTTAACTTATTTGTGAAATAGACTTTTACTAGTCGATAAACAAAAAAGTCTTCACTAGGGTACAGAAAATAGGACTAATTTTCAACAAATAACAATAATATAAAAAAGAACTATCACTTCTTAGGGTATCACAAACGGCCTCCAAAGGATTGAACTCTCTGTGGCTGGTGTGTTTTAGAACCAGTGCCAATTACGGTGAAGCACTTATCAAATTTTCATCTCATAAGCACTACTAAAGGTAGCTATCGGTTACTTGTTTTGTAAACATAAATCATAATAGCATGGATCTTAGAATTAGATGATTTCACAAATCGATAATAGATCGGGGAAATCTACCTCGATCCATGACGAGAGCGGCGGCGGCGCTGGAGTAGTAATCACCGGAATTGAGTTTCTCCCTCTTGACTCCTTTAGGTTTTAGGTTTAGAGAGATTTCTGCGATGGCTAAGAAATTCTACGTAATGGGTTGAGAGAGGACCAATCCTAGAGCTTCTTTATATAGACCCACCATCAGGGTATGTTAGGAATTTACCTTTCATTAACCTAATCAATATAGGATTTACCTTATATATTAAACCATTAAGTGATAATTACACTTGGGCCACAATTATTCCCTAGTGACATACGGGAATTGGGCTTACATGTTTTACAATTTAATTATGAATCGCCCCTATCAATTATTAAACAAGCAACCATAACAGTCAGTCTTTTTTTTTTTTTTTTTGACAAAAGATAATCATATATTGATTTAAAGAATAGGCACTTACATCCTGGAGATCAGCCATAGGCATGGCAACGGGTGGGTATGGGGCCGGGTAGTAGCTCCCCGAGCCCCGCCCGTAGTTATAAACGGGTATTACCCGTACCCGTCCGGAATGGCCAATGGATACTAAATCACTATCCATCCCCGTATCCGTCCAGGTTTGGATATTACCCGGTTGGTCGGGTTTTACCCGCTACACACATATAAAAATTAAAATTTGAAAACCATAATGAAACTGAAAGAAAACCATTGAACTTCATTGAAATTGAAACTAGCAAACTGCATCGTTCAAACTTCTAAGTTATAACCATGATCCATCAAAGCAACATCCATGATCCATGATCCATCATCCATCAACATCCATGAAAGTCTACTCTCAACAATCAAACAACATTAAAAGTAAGCAAAATAAAGCAGCAGCAACACGAACAGACCAGCAGCAACACTCCAGGTCTCCAGCAGCAGTAGACCAGCATACCAGTAGCACTCCAACAGCAATACAGCAGCAACAGACCAACAAAAACATGAATAAACCAGCAGACCAGTAGCAAGCAGCAGCAGACCAGCACTCCAGCAGCAACAGACTAGCACTCCAGCAGCAGAACTCCATCAGAAACACACAGCAGCACCAACAATGAATCACAGTAGCACCAACAATGGCGTGAAGCCAGCAAAGGACAGAATCATCCAATTCAATTCTCCCAAACCCTAATTTGATGGCTGTTTGAGAGAGAGATTCTAGGGTTTTCATGATGGCTGATTGGTGGTGAGGTGTAATCGAGGCTAGAAAAACGAACGATTGGCAGGAAGAATGGAAGATAGAAGGACTCACCGCGCGTGAATCGTGATAGAGTCTGGAAAATCGGCGTCGCAATAATCGCGATGCTGGATTTCTGAGAGAAGAGAGTTTGGATTTTGGGGAAAGTTTATTGGTGGTGGGTTTCTGGCTGTTGCATGCGTTGCAATGCTATATTTGAAGAGAGGAAAACGACATCGTATGCAATATCGGACGGGGCCGGGGCGGATAGTATTAGATCCGACCCCGACCCATCCCCGTTGTCACTCAATTAGCGGGTTTCCCCGTCCCCGACCGCAATCCGGACCTGGCGGGTTTCTTCACGGGTTTGTCCCGGGCGGGTGCGGGCTATGCCCTTTTTTTTCATACCCAATGCCATCCCTAATCAGCCAGGACTGAAAATCGAACAAACGACTCGTAGTCGGGTACAAAGAAAGGGCCTTTCTAGTCACCAAATGGGTTACCCTATTACTACTCCGACCTACAAATCTAACACTAAACCCCGGGTTACTGGACAACCCCAACACCACTTCTTCCAGAATCGCACCCACCCGGTTATCCCTAGTATCGGCCTGCAGGATCTTGTCAATGACAACCTTGGCATCCCCTTCAAATCTGACATCCGTGAAACCCCGCTCCAGACACTAAAGAATACCCTCGCGAAGGACAAGCAGTTCCACCACCATGGGGTCATCAATTATCGGAAATTGGACCCTTTTAGCCAGTAAGACATCTCGAGAAGGGGTCATCAAAACCAGTCCCCCTGCCGAGTGAGAACCGCTCCTAGTAGCCCCATCCCACATGCAAATAACCCCCGCATGAACCTTCAGCCCTGGTTGCTGCGACTGAGCGGGCTGAAGAGCTTTATCCACCGAAAGGCGCACCCACTCCTCATACTGCTGGGCAAACAGGCGCATCAAAGCAGGGATCCCAAACTGCTTACCTTCAAAGACCACCCAGTTCCGAGACCCCCAGATCCGCCAAAGCACCGCAACCACTCCCATGAAAAGAGTCGTCTGATGAATTAGAGCCATCAACTTTTTCAGAAAAAGAGGGAAGGTATGCCGAGGAAGCCCCTCCCCTAAGTACTCAAGTCCCGAATAGCCCCACATATCCCGTGCCACCGGACAGTCTAGAAACAGATGTTCCATCGTTTCCTTGCTCTCCCAGCAAACCAGGCATCGAGGATGCACCGAGACCTTCTTCTCAATGAGAGCTTCCGTAGTTGGTAAAATTCGGTTGAGGAGTTGCCAAACAAACACCTTTAATTTAGGAGGGATCTTAGCCTCCCACAACCGGATCCAACTAGTCATATCCATCCAACTTGCCGTAGCCTTCCAACGACCCTTCCTCCTATCAATGGAGACTGCCAAGTGGTCCCATCAGCAGTATCACACCAGACACGCCTATCCTCTACGTTATGACGCGGGAGGGGAATAGCTTTAATTAAACGACAAGTAGGTGGGTCAAACCACTGGCTAAGT